ACCAATGGAAAAATAGAAAGTAGGATAGAGATTTCTGATTAGACCACAACTAAATCGGGGCACCTACATGGCTCAGTCGGTTAAGTGTCCAACTCTTGACTTCAGGCTCAGGTCATGATCTCACGGTTTGGTGTGTGGGACTGAGCACTGTGTTGGGCTCTGTGCTGACAGTACGGATCCTGCTTGGGATTCTCTGTCCCTCTCCTGCTCATTCTCTTTCTCTCTCTCTCAAAAATGAATAAATAGGGGTACCTGGGTGGCTTAGTCGGTTAGGTATCCAACTTCAGCCCAGGTCATGATCTCATAGTTTGTGGGTTCGAGCCCCATGTCGGGCTCTGTGCTGACAGCCAGCTCAAAGCCTGGAGCCTGCTTCAGATTCTGTGTCTCCCTCTCTCTCTGACCTTTCCCTGCTCACGCTGTCTCTTTCTCAGAAATAAATAAAACATTTTTAAAAAATGAATAAATAAACACTAAAAACAAAAAAAAACACAACTAAATTAATCTCAAATCAGATGTGTGATGTGAACACCGCAGAGATGCTCTTATCAAACATAACAATCTAAAACCACTTCATTTGAAATTGTATGGTTGTCTGTCTCCACTACTATTATGTTTTACGTACTTCTCTGGTCATTTTGCCACAAGGGCCAGAAATGGGTAAGAAGTGTCGAAACAGCTGCTGTGGCTGGGAGCTGCTGTTTGGGGAGCCTGCTGATCTGACAGAGGCTGATGAGTGGGGGGCTATTTGAAGAACACCAGGTTTTATTCATCCCCCTAGCCTATTTCACAATGCCTTGCTTCACTCTTTTCCAAGTTCTAAGCTCAGACAGACACCGGCTGGATGAACATTTGACTTGGATGGCAAAGTCATAGCAGCAAATGAACCCCCCGAAGTCCTGCCTGCTGTGAAGTGTCCTACTCATGACAGAGGCCAGGAGAAAATGAAGATTCTTCACTGACAGACACTCTCTGGACAAGGTCACCTACAGTTTATTCCAAACCACCTAGTGAGTCTGGAGGAGGGAAAAGAATGGTTCAGCCAAACTATGCGAACTAAGAATCCTGTGGGCTGATCCCATCCACCGAGCTAAGCAATCTGAACAGGGCAGGGGTATGTGGTCCTCTGTCGTAACCTCAAAGTTCAGCTCCAGCCCAGATAGGGCTGATGTAGGCCCCGCAGTTAGGCCTTGGGTGATTGTGTGGATGTGATACTCTAGTTTTGTCCAGTGCTAGTCTCACAATCAACAAATACTGACCTAGCCCTAGCCACATGCCCAGTCATGGCTAGATTGCCCAAGAAGCCAAGTAAGCACACATATGCTGGGGCCAGGACAGGGGCAAGGGGGGATGAGGGGCATTCAAGGAGAGAACTGTAGCCATCATTCTGTTTATTGAGTAGCTTGCTATTTTGCAAAGCACTGTTCCTGGCACTGGGGAACCACAATTTTTCCCTCCCGTGTGAACTTAACATCCTGGCCTTATTTCAGCATACTTGTGAGTTTTATTTTTTGAAATAAAATTTTATTTTGCAATTTAATGTTGTTTTTATTTTGAACCGCTTGGGAGGGTACCACAGTCATTTTAGGATTGGGGCCATAAACATTTTATTATGGCCTATTCCCAGGGCTTTTAAACATACAAACAAAAAGTTAGGTTTTTAAATCTTAGGCCCAAATATTTTCCAAAAAGTCACTTGTAGTATTAACTTGAGTTAAGAAAGGATGTAGGGGGGAGGCGGTGCCTGGGTGGCTCAGTCAATTAAGCATCCAACTCTTGGTTTCAGCTAAGGTCATAATCTCATGGTTCTTGAGCTCAAGCCCCACATCAGGTTTTGCACTGAAGGTGTGAAGACTGCTTGGGATTCTGTCTCCCTCTCTCTGTCCCTCCTCTGTTCACTTTCTATCTCTCTCCCTCTCCCTAATAAATAAATCTTAAAAAAAAAAAATAAAGGATTTTGGAGGAGAACCTATCCCAGGCAGATTTTCTCATTGTACTGATCACTGTTTCTGAATGAGGTGGCTGTGGATTTAAAACTACAGGTAGTGGAAGCATTTATACAGGAAATATGAGGGGTCTATACAGTTCTAAGTATGGGTGTGCCCATGGGGTTTGTAAGGATTTATATTATTATGCCTGATAAAAAACAGGTGTCGATAGGATTTTGGTTCCCTTCACCATGGAGAGTACAGGTAAGAAGTCATGCATCAAACCCCTTTACCCAAAAAGAGAATCCATGCTGCTTCTCAGCCACATGGGCAATAGCTGCTGAGCTTTCTGTTCAATATTCATTCTTTCCACAAACACTTATTGAATGCCTTCTAGTGTCAAGAAGCTAGGCACTGATGATAGTTTCCTACCAAATAAGACAGATAAAGTCCCTGCTTTTGTGGAAATTATGGCCTAGTAGAGGTAGACAGTGAAAAACTACGTAAATAAAACAAATAGGATAACATGTTTCTGAGTCCTAGATAGAAAATAAAACCAGGCAATGTAACAGAAAGTGACTGAGGGATGCCACACTGGACAGGGGACAGATCAGGCTTCCTGGAGAATTTGATATTTGAGCAGGCATTGATCATGAGGAAGAGTCAACATGTGAAGCTCTGGAAGGAAGAGGGAACAATAGCTAGAAAGTCTCAGCTACAGACTCAGGTTGGCAGATTTGAGGAACAGAAAGAAGGCCAGTGTGGCTGGAGTGGAGGAGATGAGAGAAAGTATTTCAAGATGAGGTTGGAGGGCTAAGCAGGGCCTGGGTCATATATTTGGTAGACCTCAGTAAGGAATGGAAATTTTTTTCTACCATGTAATTCTGTAAACTGGCCACTAAACAGGTTTGAAGGGATTGATGATTTAGTGTTTAGTGTTATGATTTAATTCAGAGCCCCATTAAGTGGGAGAGTAGACTTTTGGCATGTGATCTGTCCCTGTCTTAACTGATTACCTCTCAATCTCCAGTGGGCCAGAGTCTGATCGTGGAATTCTTCAATAAAGTCATTTTGGGGATTTTTAACTGGTGATCTCTAACTCACTGACACTCCACGTAAAATATCAGTGGAGAAAATCAAACCTCAGCTGGTAATTGCAATTGGAAGTTTTTGTGTAGGACACAATCAAATACTAAACTAAGACAAAAAATGTTTATATCTGAGGATGAAACTCTCCCTAATCTATAGATCAGAAGGGAGCACAACTCTGAATTCCTACATACTAGCCAGGATTTTCCTGGTTTAATATATATATATATATATATATATATATAATTTTTTTTTTTGAGAGAGAGAGTACGCATGTGTGCATGAGTGGGGGGAGGGACAGAAAGAGAGAGAGACACACAGAATTTGAAGCAGGCTGCAGGCTCTGAGCCATCAGCACAGAGCCCCACGTGGGGCTTGAACTCACCCACAGTGAAATCATGACCTAAACTAAAGTCAGATGCCTAACCGACTGAGCCACCCACATGCCCCTTCTTGGTTTAGATTGGGGATCTTTAAAAAATTTTTAATGATTATTTATTTATTTTTTATAAAATTTAAAAAAATGTTTTATTTATTTTTAAGAGAAGGAGAGAGAGACAGAGCACGCACTGGGGAGGGGCAGAGAGAGAGGGAGACACAGAATCCAAAGCAGGCTGACAGCTCAGAGCCTGACAAGGGGCTAGAACCCACAGACCATGAGATCATGACCTGAGGAGAAGTCAGACGCTCAACCACTGAGCCACCCAGGCGCCCCTTCCTGGTTTAGATTGGGAATTTTTTTTTTTTTTTTTTTTGCATCACAATTATTACTGTCTCTTTTAAGGATCTTTCTTGTTGAGCAAGACAGTAGATAAAATGGTGTAAACCACGCTTGAGATGTCTTAACACCTCGGAGTGCGTCATGTGCTAGCCCATTCTGGCCGTCTCTGGCCCTCCCCATGCTGACGGTGGGATTTTTCCGCGTTGGATGGGAGTCCTGCAGCTGCAGTGTTTGGTCAGGGTATTTTATTTTCCTATAGGTTTAGTGACATAGAGGGGTTTCTTTTGGAATTCCCAGCAGCTAAGTCCACCAGAGCTGCAGAAGTTCAGCTTAGGACATCTGAGGAGCTGACAACCTGGAGAAGGCTTGCTTGTCTGCCCATGGTGAGCTCTACTTTCTGCAAAGTTTCAGCATGACTGACAATGAGGGTCCAATGATGCAAGCTGTGGTGGGAAATGCTGCATGCTTGGGCTCAAATGTGACTTTCTTAGGCACTGTAACTATTCCCCAATGTCCTTAGCTCCAGATGGAGTGTATCCCAGGGACCACACTGAGCTTTGTTTAAATGCTCGCATTAGCAGAAGGACGGGGATCCCATTGAATCATCATCTCCTGTCAAAAAGCCAAGAGTTGTTCAGAAGGAATGCAGTTTTTCCCAAAGAGGCTGAATCCCTAGTACTAATTAGTCGTGGTGGCTGCAGCGGGGGTGGTGGTGGGGTGCGTGTGTTTGTGTGTGTGTGTGTGTGTGTGTGTGTGTGTGTATGTGTGTGTGTGTGTAGTGATGGTAGTGGTAATCTCGTGCCTCCACTGTTTTAAAATAGGAGCAGTCTTTTTGCTCACCGTCTGAGCCATAGGGTGAGTAACCTTGACCCCTAAAACCCTCGATGGGTGTCATGGGTGTGTGAGTCCTGTCTTCTCCTTGGGTCCAGACATTTAGAATGAATAAATTAGAGGGTGGTGGTAACATGGTCATTGTCATTGCAGACAATGTGGCATTTATGTATGGGCACTGGCTGTCTTTATCATGGGGCTCAATAACAAGGGCAAGTTTGATCTTTCATCACAAACCACTGGGGTGTTCTTTAGACATAGAGCCTACACCAGCTGAAAATAGCCCTAACATCTTGTTATTTTCTCTTTTCCAATTTTTGCCTATTCATACCCATGAATAAAAGACTCAGTCTGTTCAGCCTTTCCAAAGATTTAAAGAACCTTATCTATTGATTTCTAAGTATCCAAAAAGGACAATATTTGCCTTGCTTGGATGAAGGTATCCATTCATTTATTCATTCATTCATCCGTCCATTCAAGAGATATTCATCAAACACCTAATGCGGGCTAGGCACTGTGCTAGGTGCTAAGTGAATATCAGTACATGAAAAAGACAAAGGCCAAAAGCATGTAGATGTTAAATAAGTCTAAGAAGCGACTTCCCCAAGTCCCTGAAGGAGTTGATTTTGCTATACGCATCTTCCTGACTTCTGGTCCCGTGCTCTGACCACAACCCTTCACCGCTAGACCACACTTCCCCAAATAAATAACTACTTCTGCATGCTGAGGACAGATTGTGTGCGGCAGCATTTACGTAGGCGGTACAGACAGCAGCCTTTCACTTAATGTTGCAATAACACCAGGCTAAACAATGTGCACTGACTTTCAGAGTTACAGAACAAACGCTTGATGTGGGTCAGGTCTCTTAATTCAAATGCCAGAGAAGTGCAAAATAGGAAAACTCTCTATCTGATAAGGAACAGCTGTTGAGGAAAGATATATTTGTTTTCAATTTGGGTTAAAATCAGACACAGGATTCTACCCTCCTTTTCACGTTTGGATCCCCAAATAGGAGGAACTCTGCACATAGATAATCACAAACTGCGTAAGTTTGGTTTTATATGCTCAGACTTGTCCAGAACACAGAATCCCTGCCCTGGTAGAAGGCAGCACCGTGTTCACAGAGGCACACACACATCTGTCTCAAAGTCACCCTGACCTTGGCAAATGGCAAAGATAATTTCTCGCCTTGGTTCTGATTTCCCTCTATTTTAAGGCTACATCATGTGAGCCCCATATTAAAAATGTGATTTTGCAGTCCTGAAATGGATACTGTGAGCAGATTCAGATGTGGGAGCACGTTAGGATGAGCAGATTCAGATGCTCTGGCATTTCAATCTTTATCATGTCATTTCCCAGAGGACAGTGGAGCCAGATCCCATCTCTATCGCAGTCCCTTCCTCTGACACTGGTCTCTGAACCCTCCTCTGTGCCTCAGAGCACCCTGTTATTACTCTGCCAAAGCACTTGCAGCTACTTAACAATTCTCTCTTGATTTGCCAGTCTTCTCCCCGAGGCTGGAAGGTCTCTGAAGGTAGGGACAGGTTCACTCTGTTCTGTACAGCAAGTCTCAGCCCCCAGAACTCATAGGAGTGCATGGCCATAGGAGGATCTCAATAGTTCCTGGATGAAAAAATAAAAGAATTATGAATTCATGGTTCTGTCCTTTTCAGAGGATGGATTTGTTAAGTCTCCAACTCTCAGGTCATAATGGTGCCAGGAAGGAAAGGGTTAAGCTATCTGGACGGGATAGGTTCATTCAGAGACCCTTTTCCTTTTATTGGCCAAGACAGGATAAAGTGACATATGAGATGAATCCTGGGATATAAAATCTTGACACATCCTTTAGGTGTTGAGCTGAGATGACTCAAAGTCTGAAGGGGAAGTAAATGAAATCATTCTAGGTTTTCTCTTAAGTGGCTTGAGATCCAGTTATGAATGGAAGGCAAGGCCAGGCCCAGGAATTCAAGGCTTGACCTACTTTGCCCAAGCTAATAAAAAGAGAGATGGATTTGCCTTCATAACTTTTTTTTTTTAATAATCAAGGACAGTGAAGTAGCCTCACCAATGATAGAATTAGGAGAACTGAAGGCCAAAGAATTGCTTTAGGATTCAGCGCAGCTCCAAGAAGTCTGTGTTTATATATTATGTGTTTTTCCTTCTCGCTCTCCTTTTTTAAGTGCGGGAGGTGGGGGTGGGGGGGGAAGCGCCTGAATTCCCACCAACACAAACCAGTGACATGTAATGATGAAATTCTGTTTGCACCTCTGCCTGTGACAGGGAATGCAAAAATAGCAAGTGGCCCAGTTACACGAATCCCCGCCTCCCTGCCCTCCCAGCCCCCGCCGGGTTCTCATCTCTAAGAATGGAGGTTAGCGCACCGCGGCGCCCGAGCCGCACGCAGTCCCAGCACCGGAGGATGAGGTCAGGCGGCGGGAGTGGCCGCAGCCGGGCCGGGGAGGCCGAGGCCCCGGGGGAGCGAGGAGGGAGGGCGGCCTGGCCAGGTCGACCGCGCTCCCGGCCGCGCGGCGTCGCCTGGAGACAGCCCTGGCGGCGCAGTGTTGCTGTAAACAGCAGCTTCCCTGTTACTATCTATAGCAGGATCGCCTGGCTCCGGGGTGCGGCGGCTGGAGGCAGGTCGGCGGTCCGGCTCCCCGCGGGATCCGCCCGCTACCCTAATCCCGCCTCGCCCCTTTCCGTGAGCCCCTGGCCCGAAGAGTGGGGGAAGGGGCACAGGGGCTCTGCTGGGATCTGCGGCTTCGCGTCCCCGAGGTGGCCGGCGCGCGGGGACCCATCCGGGGGCAATGTGACCCCAGCTGTCCTCTGCAGCGGAGCACGGGGCTGGGGGCATCTGGGGGCGCAGCGCACTCCCGAGCACCTAGCCGCCCCAACCCCGTTTACCAGGCCGTGGGGCCGCGTCTTGGGTCTCAGCGGCCGAGGTCTCCGGCCTGGCCTCTGCTGACCACGGTCCTTCCAGAGTCCGCGGTGCTCCCCCCTCCAAGTCCGCGCTGGAAAATCACCCGCTGTGGGCTCCCAGTAATAAGCCCAGCTTCCTGGGGAACCGAACCACATCTAACACCCCAGCTTGGACTTGCGCTCCCCCAAGAGCTCTCTCCACCCGGTACTCCAATCTGACCACCTTGCCCACATAACCCCCTCACCCCACCCCACTCCCCGGACCCCAGCTCAAAAGTAGGCAAACGAACCCATCAGTCATCCTTGCATGGAGGTCCTGCACAATGTTTACTGGCTAGTGTCTCAGAGATTTGACAGTAACACTAACATCACTAAGTATGGGCGAGAAAACAAAATGCGCTTTTCCTTAACAACAAAAAATTAAAATGACCAGCATCTTAGATAAAGTAGGTTATCGTAGTCCCTTATTTTGGATTTCCCGACTTTTGCTTCCAAATGCAGTAACAGTCCTAGTATTGCTCGAGAGTGGGGGCTTAAGGATCCGCTTCCACAGTCTGCACTGAATTAGGGGCTAGAATTTGGAATGTCGTGGGGGGGGGCGCATTCCTTCGGGGGCCGAGGCTTAAGCCCTCGGGCTCTGTACCTGTGTCTCCTTTACCTGAGCCCCAGCACGTTTCCGGGGTTCCGTATACTGGTAAAAGGGCGCTTCCACCCCATCCCCCCACTCCGCCCGGGGAACAAGGGTCCGCATTGAACCAGGTGCGAATGTTCGCTTGCGTTCTTCGCCTTTCCCGCCTCCCCTCCCCCGGCCGCGGCCCCCGCCTCCCCCCGCGCTGCACCCTTGGTGTTGGCTGCAGCCCGCGAGCAGTTCCCGTCAATCCGTCCCCCCCCCCCACAGGATGTCCATATTAGGACATCTGCGTCAGCAGGTTTCCACGGCTGTTCCCTGCGGTCGTGGGGGGAGCTATCCTCGGAGTTCCTCATCTTAGGGGGTCTATGAGACCCCTGAGACCGAAATTGCTGAACTTTCAGGACATAAGGAAATGCGCCAAGACGGGAGACGGGAGGCAGCGAGGGCGGCGAGGAGGAAGCAGGCGTGTCCAGATCCGTCGCCACCCCCCCAGCACCGCGATGGTCGCGCCCATGACGTATAGCAGCCCATTCATGAATCTGTTATAAAAGCAGTGGCTGCGGCGCCTCGTACTCCAACCGCATCTGCAGCGAGCAACCCAGAAGTCGAGACAGAGCCGGCGGCGGCGGCGGCGGCGCAGCGAACGAGCAGTGACCGCGCTCCTACCCAGCTCTGCCCCACAGCTCCTACCTGTCTCTGCCCCTCAGCCCCTCGCCCGGGCCTAGACTCACCGCGACCATGATGTTCTCTGGCTTCAACGCCGACTACGAGGCGTCCTCCTCCCGCTGCAGCAGCGCCTCCCCGGCCGGGGACAACCTCTCCTACTACCACTCACCGGCCGACTCCTTCTCCAGCATGGGCTCTCCTGTCAATGCGCAGGTGAGGCTGGGGGGCCCGGGACTCCAGGTGACGGGGCGGGACGCTCGGGGACACGAGTCGGGGACTTTTGGCCGGGGAGGGAGGCTGCCCGTGCCGGAGCAGCCCCATCTCCGAGAGCCCCGGACTTATTCGGAGCGCACGCACGCTTGTCATAGTAAGAACCGGTCCTCCTCCCCCGCGGCAGGCTCACTCCGGAGTTGCCCTCGGACCGCGCTTTCTGACTGGTCTCTGACATTAGCCGGGGCAAACAGGTCCCAAGCAAAGACTCGCGAACTAGATGCTGGCTCCTCCGGGAGACGGCAAAAAGCGACAGTTCCCCCTCCCCTAGCAGCCTGGAGCAGGGAGGAGGGGCGGAGGAGGAGGGTGAAGCAGGCGGGTGTGTAAGGCAGTTTCATTGATAAAAAGCGAGTTCATTCAGGAGACTCCGGAGCGGCGCCTGCGTCAGCGCAGACGTCAGGGATATTTATAACAAACCCCCTTTCAGGCGAGTGATGCCGAAGGGATAACGGGGACGCAGCAGCAGGGTGGAGGAGAAAGGCACCGCGTTGCGGATTTCTTGGGAGGAAACGGGGAGACCTTCCATCCAGCATGAGGGGCATATAAAAAGATGAGAGCAGTCCGGGGCTTGCTTCTCCCTCTCTCTCCCTGCTGCATGCGGCACTGGAAACTCGGCTCGCCCCACCTGTGTCCGGAACCTGCTCACTCACGTCAGCTTTCCCCTTCTGTTTTCGTTCTAGGACTTCTGCACGGATCTGGCCGTCTCCAGTGCCAACTTTATCCCAACGGTGACTGCCATCTCCACCAGCCCGGACCTGCAATGGCTGGTGCAGCCCACCCTGGTCTCCTCGGTGGCTCCATCTCAGACCAGAGCCCCCCACCCTTATGGAGTCCCCGCCCCCTCTGCTGGGGCTTACTCCAGAGCTGGAGTCGTGAAGACGATGCCCGGAGGAGGCAGAGCCCAGAGCATTGGCAGGAGGGGCAAAGTGGAACAGGTGAGGAGTTCTTCAGCGCCTTCTCTCAGTAGGGGGCGTGGATTGGCATCAGTGGAGATGGGGAGCACAGTAGACAGGGTGAAGCCACTCACGGAACTCACTACCCATCGTAAACCGGGAACCCTGGCTCCAAGCCATTACGATCCGAAGCCACACTCCGATAGCCCTACTTCAAGCAGTGCTACAATAGTGTCTTCCCTAATAGGTTCCTACCTCATGCTTTTAGACTGGGCTCTTCTTTGTTCTCATGCTGAGGATCTTATTTTAAATTCAAGTCACACCTAGCCCACAACTGCAGGTTAGAAATGACTTCCCAGCAGAGGTGCCAGGAAGTTGAGAAGCAGCAGTGGCCAGTTTCCCTGGGGTGGCTGAACAGAGCTGATGGCAGACCTTGTCACTGACTGTTGGTCTTTTTGACATTTCTTCTTCTAGTTGTCCCCAGAAGAAGAAGAGAAAAGGAGAATCCGAAGGGAAAGGAATAAGATGGCCGCGGCCAAGTGCCGGAACCGGAGGAGGGAGCTGACGGACACACTGCAAGCGGTAGGTAGATCCTGGGGGTCACTCCTTTTTCAAACTTTGGGAGAAAGTTTTGGAGACTGGGTGTAGGGGAGCAGGGTCCTTGAGTAAGCCTGTGTCTTATGCTTTGCTTTATCCCTCTGGCTACAGGAGACAGACCAACTGGAAGATGAGAAGTCTGCTTTGCAGACTGAGATTGCCAACCTGCTGAAGGAGAAGGAAAAACTGGAGTTCATCCTGGCAGCTCATCGACCCGCCTGCAAGATCCCCGACGACCTGGGTTTCCCCGAAGAGATGTCTGTGGCTTCCCTAGATCTGAGTGGGGGCCTGCCGGAAGCTGCCACCCCCGAGTCTGAGGAGGCTTTCACCCTGCCCCTCCTTAATGATCCTGAGCCCAAGCCCTCCGTGGAGCCCGTCAAGAGCATCAGCAGCATGGAGCTGAAGGCTGAGCCCTTTGATGACTTCCTGTTCCCAGCATCGTCCAGGCCCAGCGGCTCCGAGACCGCCCGCTCTGTGCCAGACATGGACCTGTCCGGTTCCTTCTATCCAGCAGACTGGGAGCCCCTGCACGGTGGCTCCCTGGGGCTGGGGCCCATGGCCACAGAGCTGGAGCCTCTGTGCACCCCGGTGGTCACCTGTACTCCTAGCTGCACTACCTACACGTCTTCCTTCGTCTTCACCTACCCTGAGGCTGACTCCTTCCCCAGCTGTGCGGCTGCTCACCGCAAGGGCAGCAGCAGCAACGAACCCTCCTCTGACTCGCTCAGCTCACCCACGCTGCTGGCCCTGTGAGCAGGCAGGGAGGGGAGGCAGCTGGCACCCACAAGTGCCGATGCCCGAGTCGGTGCATTACAGAGAGGAGAAACACGTCTTCCCTCGAGGGTTCCCGTAGACCTAGGGAGGACCTTATCTGTGCGTGAAACACACCAGGCTGTGGGCCTCAGGGACTTGAAAGCATCCACGAGTGGACTCAAGTCCTTACCTCTTCCGGAGATGTAGCAAAACGCATGGAGTGTGTATTGTTCCCCGTGACACATCTGAGAGCTGGTAGTTAGTAGCATGTTGAGCCAGGCCTGGGTCTGTGTCTCTTATCTCTTTCTCTTTAGTCTTCTCATAGCATTAACTAATCTATTGGGTTCATTATTGGAATTAACCTGGTGCTGGATATTTTCGAATTGTATCTAGTGCAGCTGATTTTAACAATAACTACTGTGTTCCGGCAATAGTGTGTTCTGATTAGCAATGACCAATATTAAACTAAGAAAAGATATGACTTTATTTTCTGGTAGATAGAAATAAATAGCTATATCCATGTACTGTAGTTTTTCTTCAACATCAATGTTCATCGTAACGTTACTGATCATGCATTGTTGAGGTGGTCTGAATGTTCTGACATTAACAGTTTTCCATGAAAACGTTTTATTGTGTTTTTAATTTATTTATTAAGATGGATTCTCAGATATTTATATTTTTATTTTATTTTTTTCTACCTTGAGGTCTTTTGACATGTGGAAAGTGAATTTGAATGAAAAATTTAAGCATTGTTTGCTTATTGTTCAAAGACATTGTCAATAAAAGCATTTAAGTTGAATGCGATCAAACTTGTGCTCTTCATTCTGGAAGTTTTTGTAAGATTGTGAAAGGTATGGGAGACCAGTTTGTCAAGAAGGGTGGCTCCTGGAGGGGGACACGCCCCTCCGTTTGATCCCTTATCAAAGAGGAAAAGGAAACTCTAGACCTGATGTTGGAATATTTTACACATACAGGTTCATCTGGTGAGGCTAAGATTCTCTCTTTTTTTTTTTTTTAATTTTTTTATTTATTTCTAGGAGAGAGAGGGAGAGAGAGACAGAGTGAGCAGGGGAGGGTCAGAGAGAGAGAGGGAGACACAGACTCTGAAATAGGCTCCAGGCTGAGCTGGCAGTCAGCACAGAGCCCAACGCTGCGAGATCGTGACCTAAGCGAAAGTCGGACCCTTAACCGACTAAGCCACCCAGGCGCCCCGAGGCTAAGATTCTTTAGAAGATTCTGGGGTGGGTTGGCTGTGCAGCCATTTGTGGGAACATGTCTTCCTGCTTCTTTCTCTGTTTTGGAAGTCAAGGGGGGAAATATTTAGATCTAACTGTACTAATATTAAATTGAAATGTCATGATCTTACAGGAACCCTTTTAGCAAGCAGAATTGAGCTTGGTACAAACCATGTTAACTTTTTATTCCCACAAAATTATGTGAGGGGTTACTCTCACCTTCAAGGTGAGCAAATTGAAGAAAGTTTAGAATGAATGCCTTTCTCAGTATTCCACTAGTGAGATAAGTCTTAATTAACTTCCTCATACCTTATCCTATCCCTAAGGTTCAGCTTCCTCTTAATACTTGGTTTAAAAAAAAAGAAGCAAAACTTCTCAGGCCTTAAACATACATTTAGTTGGACTATTTTTGTTCTCATAAGGAAAGGAGGGCTACTGTCCTATCCCTTGGTAACACACGCATCGTAATTTCTGACATTTCTTTAACATCATATGCCTCCCCTTCAGTTTACACTGGGGAAGAGAAAACTGGCTCTGAGAATTTGAAAGAGATCTTGAACAGAACAAATAATGGTTGATCATTTGGTAAATAAAAAGTTACATAATAGCTCATTAGGGAGAAGTCAACATGACTCTGAATAAGCTTTAACTTAGAATCTTTAAGAAGAACATGACCTTTGTCTGGGGCACTTCTAGTAATGGGGCCCTAACACGCACATGCACAAACCACAAAGAA